ATTGCTTAAGATCTCATAACCCTGCTCTATTATTTCCTCCATAAATTTAATGTAACACCAGTGGACTGTACCATTTAAGATATATGGATTAATATGTGGTCTACTTTCAAACTACTTTTTAGCCAGGCATGGTGACGCACGCCTATAATCCCAGAACTCTGGGAGGCTGAGGCAAGAGGATCGCTGTGAGTTTGAGGTACTATATTATCACGTGGTTCTGTTTTGTTTTGTTTTTCTTTTAATGGCTTTTCTACCTGTTCCTACTTTTGAAATATTTTCTTCTTCCCTAGCCTCCCAATTTCAACATTCTCAAATCCTTCCTGTCCTTGAATATCCTGAAGAAACATTCCTAGGAAGGCTTCTTTGACTCACCAAAACCCGGGATGCTGGCATCACATAGCCACGAATATACATATTTAAATGTCTTTCTGCCTTCTTTAAGTATTTTTTAACCCCATAATCGAATGTTGTTTGCTTGAAGCCAAAACTCTGTCTTGCACTAGGTGCCCCACCCCTTAGAGCTGTGCATTTAGGCAGTCTTTGCTAACTTTATCATTGAAGGTCTTATTAAAGGGTTCCTGCCTTTGAAAGTAAGACTCTGAGACCTGGGGTACTGTCTTAGACGTTCCACATTCGAACATGGTAGGGAGATTCTCATATTCCGTTGAGCATTTTAAAAGGTACGTAGGAAAAGTGTATTGTAGCCCACCATGGCTTTCACCACAGTAGCTCGCCCTGCTTTCTCCACGGCGTACTTTTTTTTTCTAATCTACAAATATGTGATATCTTTTTATTTTTTTTTTTATTTTAAAGAAAATAGTACAAAAAAGGACAATAGCAAAATACAAACAAAACAAAGCAAGGACATTAAAAATGATAAGGGATTTAAAATCAAATGATAGGGATTAACAGAGGTTGTTATATTATGTATTGTTATCTTCAATGAAGCTGCTCAGATTACCAGATGTAAGAATAGGAGATTGATCAAACCATTAAAAGGAATAAAATAATAATTTAAAAGAACATTAGAGACAAGCCATAGTTTCACTAGACAGGGTTATAGAAATTTACCAGTGGTGGTTATACTGCAAATTGTTGTCACATAAATTGCTCAGATTACCATATATGAGCATGCAAAATTGCTTAAAATATAAAAATATTAAAAAAAAACTTTTTAATCATTAAGTGTTCCCCTCAGTAAACCATCAGACATCAGCAGTACAGTTTCCACTGAGTACTTTTACCTGTTTTTTCCTTTTATTAGGCCCAAACTTGTTCTGCAGAGCCAGTTTCTCCCTCTTCACTTTTACTATTTCAAATAATCTTTGCCACTGCTTAAAAAAGAAAGAAAATTGTAACAGTATCTCTCTCTCTCTGGTGGCACACGCCTGTAATCTCAGCACTCAGGAGGCTGAGGCAGGAGGATCGTTGAGAGTGTGAGACCAGCCTGGGCTACAAAGTGAGCTCAAGGCCAGCCTGAACTGCATAGTGAGACCCTGTCTCAAAAAGGAAAAAAAAAAAAAGTATCTCTGTGTATGTAATATTCCTTTTATTAAAAGATTTAGAGATTATAAACCTGTTAATGGTTATCTTTGGTTTGTAGTAGGGAATGGGTGTAACCACAAAGAACCTTGGCTTTCGGATTATTGGAGTTATTTTTGAGGGGTTTTTAATTATAAAAATAGCATCAAATTTACCATTGTAACCACTTGTAAATATACACTTCAAGCAAGTACACTCACCTTGTTGTGTAACAGATCTCTAGAACCTCTTCATCTTGAAAAACTGAAACTTTTAAACACCAGTTCCCCTCCTTCCCCCCAGCCCTTGGCAACATCTTTCTACTTCATGTCCACGACTGTAACTACTTTAGATAATTCACGTGAGTAGAATTATGCAATATTTGTCCGTTCATGACTGGCTTGTTTCACTAATTTCCTCAAGGTTTATGATGTCATACAGTATCCTTTTTGAAGCTGTGTAGTTTTCCATAGCATGTATTTGCCATATTTTCATTAAGCAGTGATCATGTCAATGGACACTTAGGTGGCCACCACCTCTTTGCACCTGTGAATAATGTCCCAGTGAACATAGGTGTGCACATACGTTAGCTTTCCTGTTGCTGGACAAAATACCCAACACTACAGCTTAGGAGGAGGAGAGGTTGAATTGGGCTCATGGTTCACATGATTCAGTCCCTGGTCTGCCGGCTCCAAAACAAAAGAACAGCATGGCAGAAGAAGCAGTATAAACAATAGCCACCAAGTCCTATAACGTAAATATCCAGTTAATATTTTTTTGTTATGACTTTTTAAACTCAACATTGAAGCATAAATACTTTCCTGTCTTAAAAACTATCTTAATACCACTTTTAAAAGTGGAACAGTTTCCCCTTCATAGGCCTGGGCCTGGATGCACATACTTACATGGTACACAAGAATTTGTGTGGTGGCAAAGTAAATACATATTTATGTTTACATTGTAAATGTTTTAGAAACTGAAGCTATTAATTAGTGCATCATTAACATGAAAGTACTGTGACACCTTGTAACCTATTTGGATTTTGTTAACCATTAAGTTTAGCTTTGATTTTTCTTGGCTTGGGGTTCAGACCTGAGAAGCTGAGGAAGAGCAACAATTGCACATAGACGCCTGTGTCCTGATGGTGCTGGCGATGGCAGTGATGCTCGTGACAGCACCTTGCATGTCTTGGGCACTTACTGTGTCCCAGCCTCATGCTGAGTTCTCTCTATACCAGACTGTGTGGTTTCCATGACAACCCTGTGATCTGAGTCCTGCTGTCACCGGTGATGGTTCCATCTTAAGAAGGGGTGCATCTTTGCGGAGGAGGGCTAGGTCACTATCACGTGCCCTTGGAGGGGGTGGTGGCATCCCGGCCCTCGCGCTGTCCCCTTTGTCTGCTTCCTATCCGCCGTGAGGTGAGCAGCGTTGCTCTGCCAGGCCCTCCCCCAGGATGCTCTGCCTCACCACAGGGCCATGCAACCTTGGACTGGGGCTGTGAGCCAAAATCAACCTCCCTCCCCTGAGGCTGCTTAGCACAGCAGTGCAGAGCTGGCTAACACAGTCTCGTTTTACCAGAATTTAAATCCCACTTGGTCTTCAGAGCTTTGCTAACAGCCTTATTTTATGGGTAGCTCTCTATTCCTCATCCTAGCTAGTGTACTGTGGAGCTGTTGGGATCACCAGTATGAAAGTCCGCACACTGTGATTTAATTGGAAGGATATGTGACTCTGTTCAACTGCTTGCTCCAGGACTGTAGATCTGCAAGCTGTGCTAATTGGACCAGGGCACAACAGACCCATTCAAGAGGAACACTGGACTCTGAGCAATTCTGGTGCAGCTCCACTGAACTAAAGCAAACAGGTTGGCCGCCAAATCCACGTGTTCTGTTGCTGGGTCTACTCATGCTTCTCCGTGAGACAGGCTCACAGCAGTTCTTGCAAGTTTAACTTTTAGAACTTGTGCATGATCAAAGTGACCGCACTAGTAACTTCCTGTTGCATGTAGTATCAGCTGTGTGATGCAAAGCTGCCCACTTCACCTGAGAAGTGCTCCCAGGCAGTCTAATTATTGGTGTTGGTGCTCCCAGGCAGTCTAATTCACTTGGGGTCAGGAGCAGGGATCTGTATAGAACCTGGGCCCTCGAGTGCTATGTCTGCTTCACAATGACGAGTTCATTCCATGAGACACGGAGGAGAAAGGTACCCAAATCCCCCCAGTGTTTTGGCTTGTAGTCATGGGTATTGAACCTGGGTCTTGGCACCAGCCAGCATTCCCAGTCCTTTTTAAATTTCTTGATTTTTTTTGAGGTTAGGTCTAAGTCACTAAGGTACACAGGCTGTACTCAGACTAGTCCTCCTGCCTAGGACTCCCTAAGTGCTGGGATAGCCAAGCGTGGTAGCACATGGGATACATTCCCAGCAGCCCAGCAGGCTGAGGCAAGAGAATTACTAGTTCAAAGCCAGCCTAGAACTTAGCAAGAATTTGACTCAGAAAATACAAAAAGGGTTAGGAATGTAGCTCAGTAAGAAGGCCTTGGGTTCAACCTCCAGTACCACAGAATAACAGCCAAAACCACCAACATGCTGGGAATTCGGATGTGTACCACCCTGCCTTGCTCCCTCTTTGTTAAGCATCTCAACTTACATCTTTATTTATTTAACAAACACTTGTGCAGCTGCTCTGCTAGGTACTGGGGTTAACGGGTTTACAAAGAATCCTGTGTCCAGGAAGCCCCAGATAGAAAAATAAATAGAAGGTTTCCATTGAAAAGAAATGGAAGGTTTATTACAGCTTTGTAGTATAATAGAGATGGCTGTGAGCTGGGAGAGCACATGAAAGAAGCAATAGAGCAAACAAAGTGGATCAGGACAATACATGCCAGTGTTAATCCTGTAAAACTTGCAGCGCAGGCGGAAGTCGGCTGTGCACCGCATCAAAGGGAGTGCGGGCTGGAGGCAAAGCAGCATCAAACAGGAGCACAGAGGTGTGTTTGAGCTGGGCTTATTTGAAGACCAGTGAACTGGGCCTGTCCACTTGGAACATGAAGGTAGGAGGAGGGGTGAGAGAGTTCTGGTCGCAAGGATGAAAATATTCTAAGCAGAAGGAAATGTAAGATTCAGCATCTGTCTCGGTTACTTATCTCTCATGACAAAATACCCAATGCCCAAGATTAAGTAAGGAAAGGTTGACTTAGCTCACAGTTTGTGGAGGTTTCAGTCCATACTCTGCTGGCTCCAAGGCAGAGTGGCACATGGCACAGGGCAACAGTTCATGGTCGTAGAAAACAGCAAAAGCAGCAATAGCAAAAGGGAGGAGCAGTGGCAAGCAGCCTCTTTCCCTCCCTTACATTGTATGCAAACTACCTGCCCCAAGGCAGGTGTAGCACTCACACCCATAATCCCAGCATTGGACCATGGATCAATCGTAAACTCTAGAAGCCCACCCTATGACCGCATGAGGCTTTGGGGGGACATCCAGACACAAACCATAACAGCATCTAAAATTCAAAAGCACACATTCACCATCAATACAACTAAAATTAAAGGAATATTCATGAGTTAGAATTCTTTCCAAAATGATCGTTTTTAGATTTTCCTAAGCCTTAAGAACAAGAGAATCCTGTATTTTTGGTCTTTACATAAGGGTAGCGAATGAGAGCCCGGTGTGAGGCAGATCGTGGTGAGAATAACAGCAGCTACTCAAGTAGGGCTGTCTCCTGAGGCAGTTCAAGAAACAGCCTGCATGCCAAAGAGCAAGTGAGCTCCTGCTTAAAATGATCCAGTGGCTGAGAAGTCCCGGTGTCTCCCGAGTTCTCGGTGCTGTAGAAATAGTAACCATTAGTACTCAAGTTCAAGCCCAGCAGCAACTAAGTGAATTCTGTTGACAATGTTATGCCATAAAAAGGCCAGATTTGGTTCCCTAAGGATGGCTTTGCCCTCACTTACATATCCCACCTGCCCCAGCTTCCACCCATTCTTAATAAATTTCACAGCAATAACTTCCAAACATAACCATTATGAATAACATCTCATTCTAACATGGTTGTAATTTGACAAGGAGCCCATACATAGAAAGTAAGTTAGATAAGATTAACCACATTGACCCCATTCTCTTACATCTCTTGGTTTAGATAGGGGGAAAAAATGCACTGTAATTCATTTAACCCAAAAGAGAACTATGAAACAGAGAAAGAAGCTATATATGTCCATTGTTAATTTTACTCCAGATGGATTTTACATAGTCAACATGAAAATAGAAACAACTTATTTTCAGAGTTTAGCCTAATTCGAAGCTAACTCTTATTAACTGTGTAGGTGTTTGAACTGTTAACGTTACGCTCTTCTTTCTGAAAAATGGCAAATGTGACATCTCAGAGCTGATCATCCCCACTACCATGGAAAATGTCACCGTAAATATGGCATTTATGTTAGTATAAATGAGGAGTCCTTCGCAGACAGAGGGACTGTTCTTTCCGTACAGTCCCCCAGTGTGCTGCCCCCCGTATGCAGACCACAGACACAAAAGCAGTGTGTCCCATGAAGAGGAAAGAATACATTTCCTGGTAGTCAGGAATCTGCTTCTAGAGTCCCTGGAAGATGTCAACCATGAAGACGCTACGCTCAGCTCCCAAAACCATGGAGCAAGTGGTGGCTGCCACCTTGAGGAGGCTTCTTGAGCTCCGGACCCCAGGAGCCGAGAGCGGAGCAGGGTAGCAGCGCAGGCTGAAGGGCCCTTCTGGCTCACAAGCAGAGATTCACGGCCAGTGTGTCGTCCCCGTGAGCTGTAGGGTCCTGGTGCCAAGTGCGTCTCATCCGCACAGAGAAAGGTGTGGTCCATTTGGACTGAGATAAACCTTTGCCTGGAATCTGCTGTAACACTGTAAAAATGAAAGCAAAACACTCTAGTGGCCCCAAACGATGGAGACTGACTACTACTGCAAATTCTTGAGAGAGTAGAAAATTTTTTTAAAAACTAAAGGAAATGATGTGTATACGGACCAAAATGTGCTCGGCACAGCACAAAATGTTGAATAAAGCTGAGGGTGTTTCCAGCAACAAATAAATTAAACATCAAACCTAAAGGAAAAATGTGTGTCTCAAACCAAAGGTGCTAGAAAATCAACAAAAAACCTCAAACTGCTGTTCCAGTGAACAGCTGGAATGTTGACTTCTTCAAAATGCATGGATTCAGGAATATTGGGAAAAAATTTATATCCCTTTCTAAGTATCTCTCAGCCCTGGGAAGATGTATTTTGGCACAGATTTTGAAAAATAATGTAGCCAGGTGTGGTGGTGCACACCAGTAATCCCAACACTTGGGAGGCTGGGGCAGGAGGATCGCTGCGAGTTCACAAGGCCAGCCTGGGCTACAAAGTGAGCTCAAGACCAGCCTGAAATGCATAGGGAGACCCTGCCTCAAAAAGACAAAGAATAATAATAATGTGCAAGACACTAATTGAGAAGATAAAGGATTAAATTGGTTATGCAAAGAATTGAGAAAGTACCCTACCCTTTTTCATTTTCCCTTGCTCCATGGAGGAGTTGAGGTCGCCAACTTTTAAATCACTTCTGTGCCTGACACGTCGCTCATCCCAAATAGCTCTGCGCTGCCTGGGAGCTCACAGAAGAGTCCCTCAAGGGTTTCTAAAGGCTCTGAGCCCGTTTTGAGTACACCATGCTGTCTTTCTGTGGAGTATCCAGCAGGGTTCAAAGTACAAACAGGCACTTAATAAATTACGCTCACTTGAATGAATGAATAGATTTTTTTTTTTTGTAGTTTTAAGGCTAATTTCTCCTGGAACAAACACTGTATGAAATTAATCTCTCTTTTCTATGTTTCTAAAATGATATGCTTTAAGCCACAGTGTAAAAGTGAATTTTCATGATTTCTTTCACACCATTTCAAATTCCTTTGCCCATTGAAAAGCAAATTTAGGACACCCTTAAAGCCCTTTTGTTGTGTTGTTTGCTTGCTTGCTTTTGAGACAGGGTCTCAGCATGTAGTAGTATAGTCTGGCTTTGAACTCACTATGTAGCCCACACTGGCCTCAAATTTGCAAGCGTCCTCCTGCCTCCAACTCAAACTCCCGAGTGCTGGGATTACAGGCAAGCGCCACCACACCCAGAAGCCTCTTATTTTTGACACTAAATTTCATTGCATCTGGCAAGGATAGGTGAGCTACCACATTCCATGTCAGAATGGGTTCCGGAGAAGAGGTGGGCTGTGGTCACTCTGGTGACATCGTATCGTCCATAGAAGTGCTGATGGGAAATGTCTGCACCTCCTCATGCTTTTCCAAGAGCCTGCGCTCCCAGCTTACACGCTGGGTGGGAAGAGCGCCACTCCAGAACATCACCCTTGACATTTGCAGAATGAAAAGAACTCTTTTCACTTGGTTTCTGGCTTCGCTCACTGACTCAATAAACACTTATTGCAGAAAGATTTAAAGACCAAACCCAGCATGCTAGAACAGGCCAAAGAATGGGTTTGGGAGTCAGAGCGCTAGTCACAGATTCCAGCTCATCCCCTGAAGAGCTGGGTGACCCTCACTTCCTGACCCTCCTCATCCGTCAAGTGGGGAGAAAGAGGTTCGCCCTGGGGATGCTGAGTTTTGCAGAAGAACATGCACGGGAAGCACTCAGCAACAAGGCCGACTATCTAATCCCTCCTCTTCCCCCTTGTATCTTCTCTCCGTGTTGTACAACACAATCACGCACCCAGATGAAGACTGAGCTATGTATTTCTCCATCTTGTACTCACATGAACTACATTTTTAATACTAATCACTATACAATTCACAATATGAGTATTAATAATAAATTATGATTAAGATACACCAGTTGAGCTGGATGTAATCGCAGCACCTGGGAGGCTGAGGCAGGAGCATAGTGAGTTCAAGGGAAGGCTGGACTATAACACCTCATCTCCAGAAAATACGTAAATAAAATAAAATAAAATATGTTGGTTAATAATAATATTTTTCAAGAACATTGCTTTCCAAGTAGGTTTTCTTTTCTTTAGAACAATGAATTTATTTTGTGATCATGAATTTATTTATTTATTTTGTGGAAAAAAATTTTTAAAAATTCCTAACAAAATAATAGGAGAATAACAATAGTTAATACACTGCATAGTGTTATCTTTAAAGTACAAGATATGGGCATAAAACATTCTCCAAATGATACTGGCACAAACCTTTCTTTTCAATTACCTTAGAGAAACTAAGTAGTATAACTTTTTTTATGCCTTTCCCTTCCTTTCCCCTTTCTCCCGCCCTTGCTCCTCTTTCCTTTTCAAGAGTTTCTTCCCATTTCACAATATCCATTGTACATTTTGGTGCTTATTTACTCTTTGAGTTTCTCACACAACAAGGATGTCCACTGTCACCACTCCTATTTAATATAGTTCTGGAAACACGAGCCAGAGCAATTAGACAAGACAGAAAAATAAAAGGAATAAAGATAGGAAAGGAAGAAGTTAGCTGGGCGTGGTGGCACACGCCTGTAATCCCAGCACTCGGGAGGCTGAGACATGAGGATCGTTGCAGGTTTGAGGGCAGCCTGGGCTACAAAGTGAGCTCAATGCCAGCCTGAACAGCATAGCAAGACCCTGTCCCAAAAAGACAAAAAAAAAAAAAAGGAAAGGAAGAAGTTAAATTATCATTATTTGTGGATAACATGATATTCTACATAGAAGACCTCAAAAACTCCACCAAAAGACTTGTAGATTTAATAACCAAATTCAGTAGTGTAGCTGGATGCAGAGTCAACACTGAAAACAACAGCAGCATTCCTGTACACAAACAACAAACACACTGAGAGAGAAATTAGGGAAACCACACCCTTCATAATAGCATCCAGTTAGGGCTGGGCATTTAGCTCAGCGGCACAGCACCTGCCTGGCAAGCGTAAGGTCATGAGTTCAATTCTTGGTACCTGAAGAAAAACAAAACAAACAAAACAAAACAAAACAAAAAACTAGCATCCAGGAAAATGAAGTACTTAGGAATCAATCTAACAAAGGAAGTAAAATATCTATACATTGACAATTATAGTACCCTAAAAAAGGAGATTGAAGAGGATACCAGAAAATGGAAAGCTATCCCTTGCTCATGGGTTGGAAGAACTAACACTGTAAAAATGGCCACACTCCCAAAGCTGTTATACAGATTTAATGCAATCCCAATCAAAATACCGTTAGCACACCTCACAGATCTAGGAAAAACATTCCTAAAATTCATTTGGAACCAGAAGAGACCTAGAATAACAAAAGCAATTCTGGACAACAAAAGCAAGTCATGGGGCATCACAAACCCTGACTTGAAATTGTACTCCAAATTGTGTGAATAATTTTCCAATAATACGATAAAGTCACCCTGCTGCCATGTCCGTGCTGCCTGCCACTGGCCCTCAGCCTATTCTTATTTTATTGGGCCTGACTATGATTACGCTTTCCCTATTTTCTTAGTAGCATGGGTGTTTCTTTTTGCTATTGCACTAGAGTTTACAGTCTATCTGGACAACTAATCCAACTTCACTTTCAAACAGCACTAGCCCGCTTCACAGGTAACGACACCACCTCATAGCCCCATGACTGCGCTTCTCTGACGGACTGACAAAGAACTTGACTTTTCAATTTGTTCTGCTTTTCTTACTCGTTAGAATGGAATGACAACTTCCAACCTCAAACTGGAAACCAAAACTCTTTTTAATATAGTTCTGGAAACACGAGCCAGAGCAATTAGACAAGACAGAGAAATAAAAGGAATAAGGATAGGAAAGGAAGACGTTAGCTGGGCGTGGTGGCACACGCCTGTAATCCCAGCACTTGGGAGGCTAATTGTACTGCTAATATCAGCTGGTTTATTGAAAGGAACTGTTAATGTGTAGTTGTTTGATCAATCTTGCATGCCTATATCTGGTTATATGTGCAACCATTTTGAAGATGACATTATGTAATATAACAACCATTGTTAATATCCTATGGCCATGTTTTGAAATTCTGTATCATTTTAATTGCTCTCTATGCTGTTTTGTTTATGTATTTGTTTTGGTTATTTTGTTTTTTTAAATGAAAAACAGTTTATATGTATATATAAGAATAGCTGGAATAGGTGTACTGCTGATGTCTGTGATTTACTGAAAGGAACAGTCAGTGCTTAACATTTTCTTTTTTCTTGACCAATTTTACATTCTGGTAACCAGAATGACTGATCTGAAGACAACAATATGCAGTATAAGAACCATTGTTGAATTCCTACTATCTTGTATGGTGAAGATCTGCATCATTTCCAATGTTGTTTTTTCGGGGGGGGTTGGTTTTTGGGGGTTTGTTTTGTTTTTTACTTGTTACTGTCTTTGATTGTTTGATCAGTCTTACATTCTTACATCTGGTGGACTGAGCAACCTGGTGGAAGATAACCGTATGTAATGTAGCAACCACTGTTAATTCCTATCATTTTGTCTTGAGGTCATGTACCAGTTTTGTTGTTGTCGTGTTGTTTTGATTTTGTCTTCATTGTTATTTTGTCAGCTTTTAAATTTTTAAAATAGGGGCTGGGGATTTAGCTCAGTGGGACAGCGCCTGCCTAGCAAGTGCAAGGTCATGAGTTCGATTCCTGGTACCGGAAAAAAAAAAAAAATAGCTGAATCTTTAAATAAATAAATAAATTTTTAAAATAAAAAAAAAAAAGATTGGAGCCAGTCGGGGATGAGGGAGTAACTTGGCAGGGCTGGAAACTGATCACACAAGTGGGGGCCAGTGAGGGTCCGTCCTAGACAAGGGTGACGGTTGGATTTAGACGTGATATTCACTCCTGCCAAAAGCTTAGGCAGTGCCTTAGGGCCCCCACAAGCAGGTCTGTAAGTGCGGTGGTGG